ACATCTTAGGCTGATTACATAATTGTTGTATAACATTGTTGAAAGTCTGTGGAATTGGCTTTATCAGAGAATCGATTCCTCCAAAAAATGGAATCACAACTACATGTAGGAAGCCTTTAACCCGTATGTAATGTAGCCAGGAATCATGCCCCAAATCACGATGCTAGCAACATGAGCAATGCTGCAACCCAGGAAATATGGGTTTATGGACATTGACAAATTGACTACTACATTTGTACCTTTTATTTTAGTTTTCTTTAGAAAAAAAAGTCTGACACGAATGACAAAATTTCCAGTTTTACATGGAATTGCCCATATAAATATATGCAATTCACCCTTAGATATTTCAGGCAATTTCTAAAATAATTCTTTTCAACTTTTGAATTTCTTACATGGAATCACCCTTTTAGAACCTGTTTTAAGCATCACTGGCCAATTGCATTATTATCCTTATTCATAAATACCGTACCTTTTCAGTCAAAACCATAAAAAAGTTGAAAAATCAGCAAAATCCCAATGATCAGGCTATTCCATGGTGTGCACAGCCTATTCAGGACAAACCTTTTAGATACATGCTGCTTAAGAAATTTGCTTTAGATATTCTGAGAGTTATTTAAGGCACCTGCTTGAGATGAAGATCAGATATTTTGGCCATGTAAACTGCCGTCTTTTAATTGTGTCTAATTAGGGCAATTTATTTCATTGTCGAAGAATCAAACATATCAAAGTTTAGAAAAATGTTTAGTTTTAAATGTGTATGTGGGTCACAGTCTTTTTATTTTATTTACATACCACTTAACCAAATTTGTAATTCTTTTTCATTGTTTTTTACAAACATACCAACACATTGTTGTGGGCTTTTAAGGGTATTTGACCTTGCCTGATTCTTTTTTGTTTTGTTACGGTTGAATAATAGACAAAGCCATCAGATTTCATTCTTTTGAGTTGAATCACGTAGGAGACGGGCCAGAGCAACAGATGGCTGCATTGTCATTGGTCCTTGTATATTGGACACTGCCTGAAGAACCTCTACCCCTCAAATATCATCATCCAAATAACATTTCAATAGTTATTGGATGTTAAAGAAGAAAAAATAATCAAACATATAAATTACAATTTCAATAAATCACTGAAAATAGTGTGCATATATTTACAGCCTGGATGTGTACAAGTACATGTATGTACTGTATTTAGAAGTAGTCAGAATATGTGTTTATGTGTCCTACATGTACCTGGTACATGTACAATGTACATATTAAATCACATAAGTTCAGGTGTAAGGAATATATGTTTTTATTGGCTTTGAACATGGACACTTAGAACATGAATAAACTGATACGAGTCTAAGGAACATCTTTTGTTTTGTCTTGTCTTACATTTTCTTTTTGTACAAGTAGTTGTAATTAATGCTATAAACCCATGTCTCATTAACAAAAACTGTATTAATTATGATTAGAAGGTTGTGGTTGGCAGGATAACCTTTTGCTACAGTTGTGTACATGTATGATGAAGCTATTTGTTGCAATTACTGGTGATAATTAACTGATGACTCTGCATCAACAGGTACATCCTATACTGGAAATATGTACAAAAATGTAAACATATTGCACAGGCTGTTATGCAACTTTGTAGTGTATTCGTTTTTTATTACATGTTAGTACCGGTACTTACAGGAGTCATTGATACACATGCACGTACTGTATAGCATTGGGACAACGTACCGGTACTAGTATTAAACAGTGTTTATCATTATGCTCATTTTGATAAATTTTATGAGAGGAATTTGCATTTGAAAGAACATGGGTATAATTTTACTGCAAACTGCATAACTCCATGCAGGCATACATGTAAGTCACTGTTGAGAATATTGCTATACTTTGAAACACATGCGCAAGTACACAGAATTGTGCGTGGTACATGTATACTGTGTGGAGGATGGTGCCATTGTAAAAACCATGCTGACTGAGCACACAAAGGGATCTGCTCATTGTAAACACAACAGGCCCTGCTTACTTTACCTTCAAGTTGGTACAACGTGTAGTCTGACTGTGTATGCCCGGTGTGCTGTATATGCTCACATGGATGATACTGTAGTGGTGTGGATAACGTTTGCATCTTCTGCTTCTGCTATTTTTTGGTGAACATCGTACATGTAATGAACTTGAGTGTAGAGCCTACATGTAACACTATAAGGAGCTATATTGATAGACAATCACTGAACATGTTATTCCTAGAAAGCTTGGTAAATGTTGAAGACTGCATGAGTTTGGTGAGTTATTATTAATATTAGCAGCCATTACCTTTAACGTGTACATGTACCATTGAAAATAACTCTTATTTTTTTTCCTTTGGGTGATGAAAGAACTACATTTTTAGAATTCCATGTTTACTATTATATGAACATGTACATGTGTATATCATTATGTATTCTTGAACACTACTGGGTATAGGACTTGATTGTGTCTTTTAGCTGTGGACAGTACATTTACATTTATTTTGTAACTCCATGCAGTTGCTGTATGTACACAATCAAATCTGATCAAATGTAAACCCTGGTGTTCAGAAACATGTGCGTATGTGCATGTACTTGGGACAACTTGATGCCCTTTTGAAGGTATTGCAAAATTCCTGTAAACCACAAATCTTATAAAACCAATTACTCTTTCTCTAGAGTACTTGTACACTTATGCATCTGAATTTAAACATCTACAATTGAGTGTTTTACTGGATTATGTTTGGAGCTATTACCTTTATCTTTTGAACATGTGCGTACCATTTATTTACAAGTTGGCTGTGTTTGGACAGCCTTTTAGCAGTTATGAGTCAAGGTTGCAGACCAATAAATAAACTGCCATAGACACTAGTGATAAATATACCTACTTCTGAAATTCAGGAAAAATATTCGAAACTCTCCAAGGTGTTTGAAACGTGTGTCTCAAACAACTTGGAGAGTTTCGAATATTTATCAAATTACAGCTTATTTCATCATCTTTCATTTTCTGTTAAAATTTTTTGGTTAACTGATGACTTTTAGGAAAAAATTCCATCCAAAGATGATCACCCCTAAATGTAGTCCTGTAGCTCATCGCCATAGAGCAATTTGTAGGGCCCAATTTCATCCGAATATCACAGAAACACGAGCTCGCAGTCCTGTGCACGGCTTTTTTTTTACAAACCCTCAAAATGCTCTAATAACAAAAAAATTTGAGGGCATGCAAATGGTGATTTGGCCGGCGTAGGCAATTTTGGGCCTATTTACTGGCCTGCAACCTAAAACGTTTAATACTAAAGGGTGAGGTCGGCAATGGAGTGTAGCTATGGGCGCTACATACGCTAGGCAACTTAATCGGGAAGTATTTTAGCTAAAATTGTTCCGTTATCGTTTACAAGATTGTTCTGGTTTAGTGCTAAACCCTCCCGCCGCGGTTGCCATTTGAGTGGCCATAACTCAAATCAGTGTAAATTGTAAACCGTTCAGAAAAAGTTTTAGTGAAAACGTTACGCTTAATCTAGTTAACCAGTGTTTTGCATAAGTAATTTTTTCGGTGTCACTCATTAGCATAGACATGCACATTGTCAACCTTAAAAAACCACAATGTTGATGGCATAAATACATGTCACTTTAAAGGCTTTTTAAAACAAAAAGTGAAAATAATTAATGATCCCTTACAGGACAGGTTCATGTATATTAAAATTGAAATTAAAGATTTTTTTTTAAAATGCCACACAAACCTTTTAAAGCTACAGTCCATCATTTGTAATTTGTGCATTTTGTTCGTTTGAAGCAACAAAAGAGTTCAAAATCTAATGAAGGATACTGAGCAGCTAACCTGGTGAAGTTTCAGCTAAGCTTCAGCTGTACATTCCGAGAAAAACAGCATTCTAAGATCTCAATTTCAAATCAAAAGTTACTGAATCATGTTTTGAATTGTTTTGAATTGCAGCTATACGCGACGTAGCCCACTGATCCGACGAATTATAACAACCGCGCGCGCGTGTGCGTCGTTCCAATACTTGTGCGCGCTGTGCTGAATAACAAAACGAACTACTAATTTAAATTTTCCTACGGTGCTTCTTAAGAATCACCGTTGGAAATGCCTTGTTTCGTTAATTACTTCAAAATGACAGCTTCCCAGAAAGAATAATTTCACAGGGAGTTTAGTTTTACTTTCAACCAAGTTTGTTTTTCAACAATAATTACGCCAGTTACTTTTCGGATGGCTGCAAATGATGGACTATAGCTTTAATTTCCATGCTTGCTAATAGAATTCTTTTCAATTTACAGAATGAAAACAGTTTTTATACGTGATACATGTACATGTATGTATACCTTTTAGAAATGCTGGGCACTGTACATGTATCTGCATGACTGTACTAGTAATTGACCTGCGTAGCAATATGTCCTAATTAGCATAAAACGCCACATCTCAAATTTACTGTGATAAATTAATTTATACATGAAATACTACTAATAATAATAAAAACATTTTATAGCACAACCTTCACATTCATGCATTACATAATGTGCCTCAAAAATAATACATTAAAACAACTGGAATAAAAATGTATTTAATTCCAGTCCAGATAAAAGTTGGTACGAATACGTAGCAGAAGTAGGGGTTTTCTGCATTTTTTTCTGGATTCTTGGATTTTAAAAAGCCTGAATGAGAATGTTTCATAGCTGTATTGTTTCTTTTTTGGTCAATAGTTAATGTGAAAGAATCACAATGAGAAGTTTTTAGGAGTGTCTTTTTGGGGGCAAATGCGTGAATGTACCTTCAATAGAATGTGTGTTGCTCTGGCATGTGTGGGATGCCGCCAAAAAATGTTTTCGGGGTAACATTGTATACATGTACATGTAGCTGACATATAACAGCTGTATATTAGCCCATGTGTGGGTTCATGTTATTTCCTGGCTTCAATTTTCCAGTTTATGTGACATTATATTTTAGCTGTTGAAAATAAATTGTATTACTTTTCTTTGCCGTGATTGTTAACAGAGTGGAATGCCAACTCTTACCAGCGACATGTCCAGCGGTAGTTCACTTTCACCTCATGCCAAGCCTGGTTCACCTTATTACTATAGCCCTCACCACAGACGCAGACCACTTGTGCCTGAACATCCTACATTTACAGGTAACTCCTCAATATGAACAGTCTTCCTCAGTATCACATGTGTAGAACCAAATTACTTCCATTTGGTCCTTTACATTTTACAAAAATCAACCAAAACAATTTGAATTCCACTTCTTAAAATATGATTTGAGGCATTTGGAGAGTATGAGTGGCTAAAGTTAGCATGTACAAGTGGGAGGGACTAGCTTGAGTCACTAAGCGAAGGGGAGTTCTGCATAGAACCAGTTGATATTGCTAGGGGTGCTTTTGATTGCTTCGGTTAAATACCTGTCAAATATTAATTGGTTTTTATCTCTGTAATTTTCAGGGCCACCAAAACGAAGGAAAGGCCCCCCAGGGGGGTTAACAGTAAGTAATCATTTCAGAAATCCTCAATTCATATTGACATCTAAATGACTTAAAAGTGGGTGCATCCAGTATATTACTTGTTTGTGGTAAGAGCGTCCCTTTGGTTAGTGTGATTAGCTGGAAAAAAAACGTAAGGGTCCTGATTCCTCACATTTTAATTGATGTTTTTGCAAGCTCTATGTGGGGTACATTGTAAGTGTTTAAGGGTACAAAAAAGAAAAGAAAATACAGTAAACTGTCGTTAACTCAAATTCGGATTACTTGAAAACTCTGTTTACATGTATGTCGAAGTAATACTACATTCCCATCAAGAGAATAGGATATTATGTACATAAATACCCCCGTAACTCAAAATTGCGAAGTTTTTTTCATTATTCAATACTGCCCAACACTTTGTCTTTTCACGTGGGGATGCAGCGTACATGATGCCATTGTGATCGGACTCCAGCCTGTGGCCGCAACAAATCCTGGCTTTCGAGTTACACGTAGCCTGATTGCTACCGCTGGCCCAATTGTAACCTGCACGCCAGCAGTTCAATCTTGCTGGCTCTTTGCGGTGGACATGCGTTCCCTTGAGATTTGACTTAACAAGAGTTTACTGTACCTTGGAATAAGTCAAGGCACTCACAACCAAAGTTAAACAGCTTTAAAACTGTTTTGCCCATACCATCATGATATGTCACACTTTGCTTACAATGCATCATTCAGGAAAAGAAATGAGGCCTAGCAATCACAACGCTGAACATGCAAATTATGCAATAATGTAATAGGTCACTGGTATTTGTTCAGAATGCATTGGTAGGCATTATTTGCTTAGAGTTTTCCGTAAAGCATTGGAGTGTAACCTTCAACCTAAACTATTTGAACATTATTTGTTAAATGTTTACGGCTGCCCTACGCAGTGCTTTCTTTTTTCCATAAAAGAAATTAAATTAGACTTGCTGAAATATCATTCAGAAAAGCGCAATTACATGCAAGGCACACACAGGTGGACATAACGCACATACCAGGCTGCAAAGGGAAACCAAAAAGGGGGCTTTGGTGGCAAACTTCAGTTCATTCTGCTATATAGTACTGCACCTTTCAGATAAACGCTGCCAACTGGCCTGGTGTCCAGCCTCAAGTACTCATTGGAAAAGGCCCTAGTGTGCTGCACATGCTATCAGTTTACAATACCAGATGCTTCAGTGTAGTCGACTCTCTGCGGAACTGTAAAAGTCAGAATTTTATCAAAATCGATCAAAATTATATTTCAAATTTTCAAATAAGCCACAAAGGGAAACTGACTAGGTGAAAGTTGAACAAAGAAATTGACTGGAGCGGGGTTCGAACCTGCGACCTCCGAATTGCCGTTCTGGTGTTCTACCAACTGAGCTATCGAGCCCTATGTTGGCGGTTCCCCAATTTGTCAATATTCTTGTTAAAGGGGCGCTAGTCAGAAGACATAATCCCAGAGGTCACGATACTATAGCAACATTAGCAATACTGCACACCTGGGAAATAGCAAACAGGGATCACTCAAAGAGGATACGGCAATTATATTTCGGCATTTTGTTATCCGACCCCATAAATGTGAACAAGGAAAAAAGCTTAACAGTATTTGACAGATCTGCTGAAGCAGAATAACCCACCAGTGTTAAGACACACAAAAATACAACTTGGTTGTGAAGTCTAATCATTGCTGATACACTCAAGTTGAACAATACAAATTCACTGTGCTCACCTGCTGTCATATACATGTAACAAGTTTATTTTACTTGTTAATGGCCTAAAGGTCCAATTGAATGTCTTCAATTTTCTGGGGGAAAAAGTTTTGCCAGAGCTGGAGGAAACTGTTTTAAGATGGGATCAAAAAAGTTGGAAGTCCACTGCACAAAAAGTCATTCGAGGCCGTTTGCTCAACACGTAAAATCGGTAGCTCACAAAATATCCCCGTGTGCGATCAATTTTTGCTGAGTTTTCTTGCTGCTCCAGGCCGTGAGGCAAATATCTATCCTGTTTGATTTTTTTCACCTTGCGAGGTGAAAACACACCGTGTGCGGGCAATCTGAGTTATATGCTGAGCCAAAAAAATTAACTAGCTCATGAAATCACGTACTCTGTACACATGATTTTAAGATATTGTTGTGCATTTCTTCTAAAGCCTGCTGGCATTTGTCCCCATTTTTGAAATCACGCGACTGATAACAAGAATACATGGAATGTACTTTCATTGGCTAATTAGTTTTTTTAGCTCAGCACGTTGCTCAGATTGCCCGTACACAGTGAGTTTTTTGCCTCGCGAGACAAAAAAAAACAAAAAGGATTTGCCTCACGACCTCCCGAGGCAATAAAACTCAGCAAAAATTCACCGCACATGGGGATATTTTGTGAGCTATGTTCTGAACAAACGGCCTCGAATGACTTTCTGCTCAGCACGTACATTTGTACATGTAGCTCTCATGTGCGGCAGGCTTTAAGAACAGAATAGTTATTCCCAACAAGCAACATACCATGTAACTAGGCGCCTTCCCCCCCCCCCCAAAAAAAAATTTAATTAAAAAAGAGGAAGGGTCAGTACATGTAGGTAGGATTAGGTTTTATTTGTTTACATACATGTACTCACCTATAATAATAATTGGCTTATTATGCTTGCTGACAGGTGTACATCTGAGCAAGTCCCTGTGATTTTGCATTTTCCTGCCGAACCCCGCCCAAACCATTGTTTGGTCAAGATTGTTGGACCTTATCAAAAGGAAAATGTTCAAAACTTGAGAGTTGATGTGCAGTATGGCAATTCCATCGTTGTGGACTTTACATTTAGAGCCTACTGATCAATTTGAACCAAAAAAAATAAATAAATAAAACACTTGCAGTGAAAGCAAATTTTATATATTCTGTACAACTCTAGTTAGGCCTTGATGACATGGATAACTTAGTGTTAGCTGAATTAATTATATATTAACTCTATACGAACACCAATGACATTTTACAAAAGCATGCTTTTGTTAATGTTTCAGACATTACATTATACTGAAATCAATTTCACACACGTGATAAAAAAACCCACTGAATCATGGTATTCTTACCAAATTTAGCCCAAAAAACAAACGTTTTTCTTTTTGGACCCCCCCCCCCCAACTGGCACACCACTCAAATAAATGGTTCTAATTTTCCCCTTTTATTTGATGCTACATAAGATTTCATAAATTTGTCACTTTTCAGCCGTGCCCACTTTTGCCTGGATTGCCCAGTACCATCACAAGTATTTATGGAAATAACTTCCAGTTAAATGACACTTGGCATTACTTTGGAAAATAGTTTGCCTCAAAGGAAAGATTATTTGAATTACTGACCCAAATAATGCAACAATTGACTTCATATTGAGTTTTTTTTAACCAATGTAGTTTCAGTAATCTAATAAAAAGAACTAAAGTGGTAAGGCCAAAAAAAAAAAAAAAAGGTCTCTGGTCAGACCGAAGCTCCGGAATTGATGCGGCGACGCGTTTTGTTTTGTTTTTTGGGTGGCTTTTTTTTTTTTTTTTTTTATGCCCCGCGGCGAAGCCGAAGGGGCATACTGTTTCCGCCTTGTCCTTCCATGGGTGGGTGGGTGTGTGTGTGTGTCCGGACAAATCTTGTCAGCGCGATAACTTGAGAAATACTTAACATATGAACTTCAAATTTGGTTTGTGTATTGTTCTTGGTAATCCTAAGAACCCTTGTGCATTTGGGGCCGAAAGGTCAAGGGTCAAGGTCACAGCGACTAAAATAAAAGAAATCTTGTCAGCGCGATAACTTGAGAAATACTTTACACGTGAACTTCAAATTTGGTTAGGCCTATTGCATTGGGGGTCGAGGGGTCAAGGGTCAAGGTCACAATGGCTAAAACAATAAAAATCTTGTATTTATTATGAGATCATAGGGATTAGGGATTAATTCATATAAAACCTACAGAAGACACTAATGCTGTCAATGAACGTTCCATGTGACCAAGGTACATGTAAGTTGATGTTAAAAGAGTGGTGTTATGTCATGGGAACAGTCACGGTTGCGGGGCATTTGTGTTTGTAAACACACCTGACTTGTTCAAGCTTGAATTGTACAGACAAGGTGGGTACTATTTGCTTTTTTGTGTCCTCATTATACATTGGTGTCCTCCATAATTTGCCTTGGTGCCCTTTATCATTTGCCTCGGTGCAATTTCCCCATTCCTTGGTGCTCCTTGGTACAAACATTTGAGGAGGTGCGGCAAATTTGAGGAGGCGCTGTTGTAGCTTCCGTGTTAATTTGAAGGGAAAAAAAAGGTTGACGTGCATGATTAAAATCGACGCGCGCGCTGACCAGAGACCGATTACTTTTTTTTTGTGGCCTAAGCATTGTAATAGAAACCACACAGCAATGCAGCAACTACCGGTATACTGGTACTGTACATGTACCGCCGTACTCTGCATTAGTGTGAAGCAAGATGATTTCAATGTGCTGCAACACAATGACTGTTATAATATATTCTCATTAACATTTCAAGCTATTAAAAGCAAGTAAAATGCAGACAATATGTTAAAACCTTACGTTTAATATTTTCCTTTCAGTTCATTATGGTGTGGAGTCTATTGGGTATTTGTTTACATTCTTTTGGGGGTAAACTGAAGCCCTGTTTGTTTCAAACACTACAAGTCACCCTAAACTGAGTGTTTGATCTTAAGCTTGAGACTTCCAACCGTGGTCCCAAGCAGGTCAAGCTCCCCTGGGTATCAGACTGAGAAAAGGTCACATCCACAATCTGACTGTTCTCTGTCTTAAATAATGACAGTCTAGTCTATTCCAACTAATAATTATTTAGTTGTCCGTTCTGCAAAAATTCTGAACAGAGTAAATTATTTAATTGCATATTTTGTTGTCTTCATAGAGTTCATAATTTAGCTGTTGGCAATTAATTTGTGATGTCATTACTTGGATTGCTTTGTTATTCAATTCACACATCCACATCATTGCACACTGAGCATTTTGGACAATAATGTAATCACTTCATCTCTATCTAACGCCACTGAATTAGAGACAAATGAAGCCAGTACCTCTTCAATACCCTGTGTCCTTGCTTTGCCAGATGGGGCCCTGCATACAGCAAGCATTCAGTTCATTAAGTAAATTGCAACTTTGTCCCATCCTGATTCCAACAGTTCAAATTTGTCACTAGATTTTTCTTACTTATAAAGAATCCCTGCAAACTCTGCACATATGAGGTAATGCATACGTGTTGTTATGATTTTGACATTGTGCAATGTACATATGTATGGTTCTGTTTCACCTCTGCCAAGTGTTGTGTGATTGAAGGTACATGTACCACTACCAGAATACATGGAAATATTATAGATATAAACATACTGCAGCTGCCATACTACAGTTTATTCAGCACTTTACCAACATTAATCTGTACAACGTTGTGTGCTCTGTATAAATTTTAAACAGTAAAAGAAAATGTGGTGCTTTTTGATAAGTCATTTGTTGGTAGCTTTTGTGAGCTCTTAATATGTTTTGTATTTTAACACTCTTGTCCAGTTAATAATCTTTGATTTTTTATTTTTTTTAATTTGCAGGTGTATTCTCCTAATAGTCAAGAGGACTATCACCATTCATCCGATCCATCCAGTTACCCTTCCCCTAAGCCTCCAGGCATATATCCTAACGAGTACTTCATGGGTAAGCAAGATGCCAGGAGATTCATATGGGAATCAATCCATGAATGTTTTATTAAATCATCAAGATTCATATTAGGAAAGTTGTATTTTTTCAATGATTTCAACGCCATATAGCATAATCCATACATGTAATACGTACATACACATGTAATGGCATTCTGTGATGTCAGGCGAAAATAGCCAAAGCGCAAAGCTGGCTCCATCAATGTGTGTACACATGCTCAGCACTTCTGCATGCATGCGATTGGATCGGATACCGGGGACATCCGCAATATGGGCTACGCTGTGTTTTTGACTTTAACAAAATAGGAAACAAAAAGTATGTCTTATTTTTTCAATTTACTTAAAGTACTGTTTTTTTGGGGGGGGGGAGGGGGATTGATTAAAATCTTGGGGTTTTTTCATATATTGAAAAATCCCAAGTAACCGAAATGTTCTCATTTTATTTTGTTTTTCTAAAATTGTCAAATTCAGAGTTGGCGGGTTTGTAATCCAACAAACTAAAAAATGCTGGCCTAACTACGACTGTATACTGCAATATGCATTGCAATATAACTTGCGCCACGTATGGGCCACTCAACTCATCTAAACAATGTATATTTTGGTCAGTTAGCAATCCGAAATTGAGAACTATGACACCTATTACTGCAGGTAAACCCATATTGTTCCTGTGCATCTGGGGAGTTAAGCCTGACTACTATTATCCCCACAATTCACTGTAACATTGAGGTTTTTTCTTCCAGATGCTGCTTCAGGCACCCACAGTCCACATAGTACAGATCCCTGGAACAGTAATGGGCTGGCCCCATCCAGTGCTAGCTTTCATTCTACTTCCATCTTAGGCAACTCTGCTTCTTCATATTCACAATCACAAACTACATACCCACCACATGAACCTATGGTAAGAAAACAAAATGTATATCATTCTCTTATTTTTCTGTTAAATTAAAAACAATCATTATGCTCCTCACAACTGATATTTTATAGTCTTTTTTAATGTTGTGGCTATGAGCCTGTTTTCACCTGAATGTCCAAATACGCTGGATCAGATCCCTTAGTACTGGGTGTTATGGGAATGTTTAGTGCAAAAAGAGTGATTTAACCCCATCTGATGCAGCATCTTTATAATACGGATAGGGGTCTCCCAGTTGGTGGATCCAATCTTGCCAATTGACCTGGCTACTTCTGGTCATCAAGGCGCTGTAGTGTAAGCACACAATGAAAGGGTGATACAACAATAAGATTCATTGTTGCAAATTGTAAGGATAAAACAGAGAAAGCTTCCATGATGGTAGGCTTAGTGTGTCTACAGGGCCTTATGCTGATTGCACTGAGAATTTATGATGCAAAATGGGTGCTTCACAAAGCAATTTGGGATGTTCTATTGTTAGAGTTGTTAGTCTCTTTGTAATTGGGGGTGGGTATTATTTCACTTTTTTTCACTTTTTAATGTTCTGCCCCTTTCAAAATATGTAGTAGCCTACTAGAAACAACAATCAAACATTAAAACAAACATTGGAAAAGTTTAACCCCCCTGTACATGCCATCAAAAAGTTTTGGGCGAAGGGCACCCTCTATGGCTAGTTGAACTGACATGTTCCCTGACTTCAAAAGTCATCAAAAGTAATATATTTTGCAGTTCAATGATTACTTAAACAAGTGAAGTTACTTTTACTGGCCATTTCTTGCAACATGATTGTGAAAAAGTTGGTTTTTGGTCCATAGTAGATGACAGTTTTTCCACTCACTTTCCCTGAGCATATGACTGCATTCCTAATTTGAAACTTGTGATATCACCACTCGGTTCAGGGTGATTAAGTTCCAACGTCATGATTGTTTAATCAAGTTTAAAATTTGTGACCTCCACTTTACCATTGTTGAAATCTGCCTTGCAGTAAACTTCATGGATAATTTGTTTTGTAATTAATGAGGTGGGTAAAAATATTGGTATTAATTATATTTAGTTCTTCATCAGCCCAAGTCAACTTGGTCAAAGCTACATGTACTAACTGTTGATCTTATTGAGCGAAGATAGCCAGGTTCCTTCTGAGAATACTCTGGTGTAACAAGTTTACAATACCAGAAGTAATGTGCAGTGGAATTCTGCACAGGATGAATTTAAGGATAAACTAGTACTATAAGGCATGGGAGGGACTATTCGTATCATCAGACCAGGTTGATAAGTATATGAGTGTATGGAAGACTAGGCCCTAGCCCTACTAGGCAAATCTGACGCTATATTTGGGTAACAAAAGCAGATGCAAGGATGGATGATATTCAACAGAGCCGGTCATGGACATCTCTTAAATAAGTATGCATTCAGCATGAATCATACCCGCAATGACTTTTGAGTGAATAGCTACATGTATATATATATACTATTCTCTGCTTTTCCCTTTCAATTCAGCATATACATGTAAA